GTCAAGTCTGGGCTGAGTTCTGCTGATGTAGACGTATAAACAGAATGTCTCCTGATTTCCAGTGATGGTGGATGAACTGGTTGTTTCACAGGTTTTGCCACATGAAGCACGCCGCTCTCCAAGATCCAAGAAATAGTCGCTCTGGTTATCGGTGTAGTCACCAGCAACATGTACATATTGTGGGCATTGTGCCACCAGAAATCCATATGACAATACAAAGGGCTGTAGCGGGACCAGCACATAACAATCAAGGGGTATTTTTTATTCACTATTGTTCATTTTGCACTTTAAGTATTTTACTTTGAAACTTTGTTTCAACATTGAAAACCTGGAATGCTGCAAAACTCATAATTGTTCTTTAAGTTCTTTAATTAAATTTGTCGAAAAATGATCCATTCGGTGACTAAAAGCAATGATCTGACTTGAACCGAGAGTTTTGTGATCCGTTGCACCTCCAATAACCACATTTCTAAACCCGTACACAAGGAATATTAAATTAAACAGCGGAAAACACAGGCTACTCTGTAACTCTGACTAAAGCAATAAAAAATGTGATACGTTGTTTATCTAGATCTGCTCTAAAATAGAATGAGAAATCTGTTAGGGCGTTTTAATCCTGCTGACAAACAGCAGAGGTAACAATAGAAGAAATAAATGATGATTTACACACAGCGTCTTTCACGCCTGTGGCTGAGCTGCTGCAGTAAAAGCACATTAATGCTCTCCATGATGTCCTGCTACACAAAAACAAGTCAAAGTCTTAGTTATTCTCTTACATCAAGATGCCTCATGGAGCTTTACTGCACCTGTAAATAAAAACAACTTCACTGTACCTGTAATCATTCGCTTCTCGCTGCATTTGTTTTTGTTTTGATAGTTTTGCTTTTACTGTAACATGAATGTTTTCCCGACACAAGCGGTTTAAATTCCTGACTAACTGCTGCTTTGGGTTTCCCCCTCTCAGTTGGTTTAGACGTAAATGGCCGCAACACATCATAAATAAAGAGAAATATGTCGCAGGGCCGACTTCCTGTGTAATTAAATCAACATGCTGTACTGTATGTGATGCTGGAGAACGTGTGTTCGCCATATGTACAATGATACACACACACACGTCAAATGCGTATGTATGACTGAGTATGAAACCGTTTTCATTTCTCTTAACGGACACTGAGACTTCACATGCAGCTGCTGGATTTATTGACCTTCTGTAATTTTGGGAAGCGTCTCTGTGGTCGTTTGCAGTTTTTAGATGGAAACATTCTTCAATGTCTTCAGTGACATCGCGGAAAGTATGAACTCTGAATGTCTTTACTTTTGAAAAGCTTTTAACAAAACATTTTAATTTAGTCGTTGAGATATGTGAACATTGTATTTAATTGTTTAAGTACTGCAACAATACGCTGATGTTTTATTTACATTTGAGAAAGGTTTTGAGGCTCATACACAGCAAAGAAAAACATAGCGATACTTATTTTGTTGGATTTCACACTAATGAAAATATGATCATGATTATTATGTTTGATTTCTTCCAATAAGTATTAAAAAATCGTACAAACTAGTTCTGCAGATTCACTGTGATCGTTATTCTGTAACTCACATCATTGGTTGCATTGTGCAGAATACAATATATGTTTTTATGACACGTGTTCAAAATTAAAGCATCACAGTGCAGCAGGGGTCGATGTGTGCAGCCAGGTGCCCTTTGACCTTCCTGAAACACTTTCTAAATCTCATTTGTCCGACCCATCAACACCTTTCTACTTCTCTCGCCAAAACAGTGATTATATCAATCACGACTGCGACTAATGAACATATCCACCAAGCATGAGGGACAGAATTGAGTCCAGAGCTGCTGGAAGAGGACGAGGACACGACCAGAGCTCAGGGCCTGTCCTGCCATCTGCTTCCCTCCACCACAGACTCCATTGTCATTTTCTGGAAGGCGATCACAGTAATGGTGTTGTGATTGGCTTTAAGTGGATTAGGTGTCAGACGGGGCAGAGTAGCTGTGGCCAGAGATGTGCGGTCCAAACACAACCTGTTGTCCGGCCTGTGAGTGAGCTCTCAATCTGGACAACAGACATGGCTGCTCCGCTCGTTAGAAAGCGTCACTCCAGTCCACTCCTCTGATTGGCTGAGTCACATTTGAAAGACTTTGTAAAATGGCACACCTGTGACCACAAAACTTTATTCACATCAGCACCAATGTGACGCATAGCAACCACTTTTGTTTGAGCTGAGGTTTAAGAACAACAACAGCGTGAGCCAGAGGAACAGCAGAGTAACATTATATATATGTAGGATATGTATTCAGAGCTCTTAGAGTCAGAACACTGTCCGCACAGGAGCAGTTTGTGGTTCAGTATCTTGCAAGGACACTTTGAAATACAAACTGCAGGTGCCGGGTATCAAACCGACCCACTCTCCCCACTGAGCCAGAGGCACTGTTATGTTATGTACTCTTTTTTTACCATATGCAGCTACGAAAAATTATCCCATTTCCCATTCAGCTATAAATCTCTTAAAATAGAAACCTGGTTGTACAGAAACACAAAATATTAAACATGCACAAACATTGCATCAACATTTTTCTTATGCGTATTATAGAACTATCAACTCATGATCATTTGACGGCAGTACGTTTGTCTTGTCCAACAATCAAGACAATTTTCCTAGCAGTGTCTAAACTATTCAATTTGCTGTAATCAATATATTTTTATTGATTCTTTAACTTTCTCCTACACGTTGACAGGAGTTCATTCAGGCACCGACATAGAATCGCAAGCAGCAACTGCAAAGACCTTTAACCCACTTGTTGAGTCTTCACAGTAGTTTTCAGCTTATTTTAAATCTACCTCCCGCAATTAAGACTTCATTTGAAGTAGGCAGACAGATTACTGCAATAAACTGTCAAAGCAATTTAAACAACTGTGTTATGAAGTCCCAACGTCCGCCACGGTTTAAAATCTTCTTTCCACTGGGTCTTTAGTCGTGGTTGTAAATTTAACTTTACATTCCTTTATGGAGCAGGTGCGAGGGATTAGGCTGAGGGAGGCGTTCACAAACTGAACATGTTGTGAGACGACTGAACGGTTTCACACACTCCTAATGTGTGTGTGGGTTTGTGAACAGTATGATGTGCTTAAATGAGCCTGTACATGCAGATAATAAAAGACATGTGCAGATAAATTGCAGCAGGAAAAAGAACAAGTGACAGAAGAGCTGTGTCCAAACCCATAACACATAAAAGTCATTCACATGCTTGGTCTCTCAGACACCTGACATCTTAAAAGTCCTTATAAAAGTTACTCAACCAAATCCAGAAGTATGCGTCCAGCATGAGGACATCCTGAAGAAGAAATACTGGAAGCATTTGAAGAGGAGGTCCCAACACAATAAGAGCACGATGGAGTTTTCTGGACTCAGAAGAAACACTGACAGGCTGCAACTTGCTTAAAACGCCGCAGCCAGAGTTGTAACCAAAACTAGGAAAAGATCAGGCCACATATCAGTGTTAGCTTCAAATTCTCTAGTGGACAGGTAACATTTTGTCATATCGCTGAGGTCACTCACTGCTGCCATTCGCTGAATGCGTCACATGCAAACTGCACAAACTACAGTGAAGCCGCTTTCTGTAGTTAAAGAATAACAACATCAATTTATGTGTTTAAGAAACTGCTCAAGATGTATTTCATGTTCTTGCTTGTAATTAATCTCATCATTTGTTTTTTTCGCTTTTATCCCCTTTTAAATATATTGGATTCTTTCATTATCCTTTATTGTCTTACTGTGTTCTGTTATTAAACATCTGTTATTCTGTTTAAACTGCATTTTTAATGTTAAGCAACCTCGAGGTAAGTTTTACACACGAGTTTGGATTAAATGTCCTTAAATAACGACGAACAAGCAACATATCAGTGCACGCATGTATTCTGATGGAGAGGTTACCCACACATGTATTCTGATGGAGAGGTTACCCACACATGTATTCTGATGGAGTGACTCATGAGGTTACCAAAATTTACACAAACACACAACTTCTGCGAATGATCTTCTAGGCTACTGTATTTGTAACTGAACACAGTTGCCTCTCACGGAGCACACACACATCCACAGGCTGCTTTTGTCTTCCAGCTGTGCATTTCAGGGACTTAAAAGAGGGTTTGGCAGAGTTCAAGCAGTTGGCCAGTGTGTGTTTTTGACACACGGGTTTCATGCACTTGCTGAACATGTGCAGCCACTCCAAATTCCACCAGGGAGAAGAGAGAGGACCCCGGCTTCCTGTTTTCCCCCTCTCTCCGCACACGTCGCAATTCGACCCTGGCTGAGCTGCACAATGAGCGTGGGTGTGATTCAGCTTTCAACAGGCCTGTTACCAGGGATTACCCCAGCGTTGTTTAATAGGGTAATCCGGGCCACAATAGAATGTTGTTTTATCAGAGTAATAAGTCAGACACTTTGCTCACTGAAGGCCTCAGAAATGTCACCGAGAAATTTCTGCGAATCTGTCCCTGGCCTCTGCCCAGCCGGTGCAGGTGAGGTGCATTGGAGAGCGCAGCTGCCACGCTCAAACTCGCATTCAGACACGCACCAGCAGGCATGTATGGCCCCCATAGATAGATTGATGATGGCAGGGGGGGATGCAGGAGCTGTGTAGCTGCACTGGCCAGCTTTAACCCAGCGGACATGCTCTCAAGCCCACAGTCATATAGTAACATTTTATGTGACAAGCATTATAAAAGGTGATTTATAGAACGCATGTGTTCTTCAGAATATATAGGCTGGGGTATTAAGTCTGCATTTTTAAATCTGCCTGCTTTTTTGCATCATCCAAACATTAACCGCTTAAGCAAACTTCCTGTGAGAATAACGAGCGCAGCAAATGGAAAACTGTGATTGACCTCCGAGGGCCCGACAAGGACAAGCGAGGCTGCTGCAGGCACACGCTTGTAAGCATTGTTGTTTATATGAGCTGGCCCGTCATGTGTGGCACTCACCTCCGGCTCGTTCTCTTTTGGACTCGTTCAGTCGGAGCTGACCTGGATCACAGCACTGACGGTGCCTGCAAATAGTTCAGAGCTTTGATGTAAAATGTCTGCGGAACCAGGTGAGTGGAGCTTAGTGCAGGGGACACTTCAGAGAGCTCCAGCGGTAAATCATACAAACAATATTGTCATGATAGTTTGAACTTTGAGATTTCTTTTGTGAGCCTGTAGAAGAAAAACTATGTATCCCTGGTACAAAGTCTATTACACTGAAGCAAATGTTCAGGTTTTTTGTGTATTTTTAAGAGACGACATTCGATGGACAGTCTAAAGGCTAAAGAACATTTAATATTTTAATTCAAAAGGAAAATAAACCATGTCACTCTTCTGTGAAAGAGCACCAAGGAAAAAGCCTTTATCAGTGTAGCTAATGCAACACAGATAAAAAATACATGAGGCAGAACATAACTGCGATCCCAGTGATACTCACTGCTCCAGATCCAGAACAAACAAGACTACTCTACAGAAATATACAGATCTCACTCGGACCTTTGCGTTCACATGAACAGCCCCTCGGGAGAAACTCCAGAAGATCTCTGGAGTTCAGCGCATGTGAAAGGTCTTAAAAGCTTCTTAATGCTTGAGCTTGTTATTGGCTGGAAAGTCTGAATCAATCACTCAAAGTCTTAATCCCACACAAACACATTTTTAATAATCATTCAACAAATCTGAAACATCAATCACATGTTCCACAGCTTCACTATCAAAGTTGTGCTTTTAAACACATTTGAAAAAGGGATCTTACCGACTGAAACACCAAACAAACGCTGGCCTCATGTTCTCTCTCTCAGGTTTGACTCCAAACAGGAAGAAAGGCCCAAAGGAGCTTCCCACCCCCTTTATAGACTCCGCCCATTTACCTGGGTTGCTGGACTTCCTGTTACCTTTCCTGAAGTGAACTCATGGACATGAGGCTTCCTCTCTGCGTGTTACAACTGTAAAGGTGTTGATTACTACATCAAACACATGTACATGTGCACATTACGTTTTGTTTTCAGGATTTATTTAAGTTTGAGCAGTTTTTTATAATAATTTTTAATAATTGCAAATCTTTGACGCTTTGCACGCCCCCAGAAAAACTTCTACCACTGAACATGTTTGGTTCTGGGTTTAGGTTAAGTATTATTGACTTAAATTTATTATTTTCTTATATGTTACTGATAATTTGTAGTTCAGTCCTACAGCCTTTTAATCTACCTCCCTTATTTCTTAAATGCTTTTCTTGCCAGGTATCCATCCATCCAATAAAGGCTTTTTTATTTTTCAACAGTAAGAGTTTAGTTGGTTTATTTATTATGTTTGCAACAAATGAAATCACCCATGCAACAAATAGCACATTGCAGTATTTTTTTTTTCCAATTGATGCACTATATTTTTTTTGCATTTTCAAAGTTGACACTCATTCTAAGATGACAACATGCACCAATAAGAAAACACATTTTTCTCCATGACCTCTTACATATGTGTTCTATTGCAAAGTTATATTCACTTTGTTGGTTTTACTGAATTGAGTTACACACTGAAGATGCAGTAGATCAATAAATCTATACAATGTTCATTGAAATTCTCTGTGCACCTAAATATTCAAACTCCAGTATAGAAACTTGAAGCCATCGTGTGTCGGTAAAAAAAAGAGAAAACGGTCTAAAATCATTTCTGATTCGTGAAACCAGGTGGTTTTGTGTGATGTCACCGCTGCTTTTACGGAGCAGCAAAATAAAGTGCAGGGCTCGTGTGTGTTGAACATGATTTGACATCTTCTCTCTGGTACAAATAGTGGACGTCTGGAAACAGCTCTTACTTTTTGATGCCAGCAGTCATCAGACACAGATCATGTCCGAGGCCAGAACACAAGCCGTCGGCCCTGATTTCTGTCTCAGCTCCACTCATTGGTCGTCAGTTTCACTCCACCCGCCCACCAGACAGCCCCGGATCTTCTGTCTGTCACCAGATCCACCTGCTCGTCTGTTTTCCATTTCCAATCACTGAAACGTCCCCACCTACCATCACCTGTTTCTCATTTTCCTCATCTGCTCTCCAGCATTTCTTCTGAGGCTGCGTTCGGAAAGTCCAAATAACCTCCTTTCCTAACCACTATTCCTTGACCCTGATGGAATACATCACGAGGTCAGGGAAAGAAATGAAGGAGACGAGGTAAGGAGGTAGGAAAGGAGAGTTTTAAAACAACTTTTTTTTATGCCAGAGGATAGACAGAAAATGTCCAAAGCAGAATGGCAAGTCCTGAGAAAAGATGTTCACACAGAGACATTTCACCATTTCAGTTACTCAAAGAAATAAACAACAAAACAGATGGAAATGAAACTCAAACAAACAAGACTGAAATGTTGAAATAATATAATAATGTACGGAATAATAAAGAAGTAGAATGTGAAGATAAAAAATGATGAAAAAAATCTGTTTTCAATTAGACAAAACAAACAAAAGTGGTAAATTTCTGATATTTGAGTTGTTGAAAATAACAGTTACAGTATTTGGTTTGATGAATGAATCCGCTGTGTTCAAGCACAATTCCATTTATTTTACCTGCACCGCTGCACATCCCTAACACTCTCCACCTCTCTGGTTCTCACACTCTAAAACCAACCCTCCACGGGGATCTCAGTGTCCAGGTCACCTGCCCAGTCAGTCACACTATCCGCTGGATCTCTGAGGAGCTGCCTGCAAACTGCTGCACGTTACCGGACCTCTCTCATTTAGACTCGGGGGCTTCCCAGCAGGGAGTCTTTGTACACAGCAGGCACGGCACCCTGGGACAGCCTGGGACGGGCCTGTCTCCATCTGGGTTTATCAGAACCACCTGCCTGTGGGGGTCAACTATCTGAAACATTTCCCTCCTGAGGAAGAAGAAAAATCATTTAGACGGTTTCCTGTTGACCTGTGTGCCATCGCTGAGGCCTTTTTTTCTGAGAGTGTGGGAATAATTGTGTGTTTTACTCCCACTTTTCATGTTTGTGTCTTTCTTCTATGTTTGAATCTATTTCAGGTTCACAGTTTTGTTTTGCTGTTGTTTAAGGATCTTTATGGATTAAGATTCAGGGAGGTCAGAGGATACAGGCTGAGGTCAGTTTGAGGGATGAAAGCACCAAACACACCAGTGGCTCATGAGTGAGTCTGTGTCCAAAACATCTTGTTCGAAATATAATACATTAATTAATTAATTAGCATGTTATCAATATTTTTCCAATCTGTATCCCGTCAATGGAAGCTTTCAATACTGCACCTTTTTTTTTTTTCCAAGGTTTTGATTATTCAAAACGTGTTTATTCGTGTCTCAAGTCATAGTATTAATTTCACCTACATAGGTTAATGTCATTTTTATTTTGTTATATAATATTGTATTTTTAAGCTAAATATATATTTTAGATGAAAAATAAAAAACGAATCCCTGCAGCATTTTATGGAATAAATATTATATTGATTGGCAGACTAATGTTTGTTATTATTATTATTAATTATAGTTATTCCACATACTAGGTTATGCCCAAAACATTATTTGGGATTTCACCATCACCTAAACTGTGTGATGATTTTATAAAAATATGTTTCAGGTGTTATTTTGTCCACAATCAGCAGAAAGAAGAAAGTGATCGTCACAGTCTTCCTGTTTTAAACGGTTCTGTGCAAAGATCACAACCAGATTATCTGTTATTTTGAGGTTCAGTGAAATAAATGTCTGTCAGAAAGTCACTGACCATCAAAGAACTAGTGTCTGTAAACTATTTTTATCAGAATAATAAAAGTCATGATTAGAAGTCATGATGTTATGAGCAGCTCATCATTGGACTGATTGTGTTTTGTACCAGATGAGCTAATTAACTGAGTAGAGATTCTTTTTCAGCACAAAACACTGGCCACATGACCAGCGTCTGTGTGTCTCTTTTTTTTAAGTTTGACATCTGAATCATGACTTTATCAGTCTGGAAATAGTTTCAAGATGTTCCTTGAAGGAAGGAAAAAAAGAAAAGCGCTGGTGTACGGCGGCTGAAGGTATGTGAAAGTCCTTTGTGAAAGAGCCGTGATTTAGTGCTTCAATAGGCTACACATGTCAGACGCACTGTAACACCTCCGAAAAGTGGGTCCACGTCTCCTGTCAGCAATAATTTATGGTGAAGATGAGTCGAGCCGAGGAATCTCAAGCATAAGAGAGGAATAAACACAAGAGGGCAATAGTTTACCAGGAATTTCTGATTGGAGCATATAAGCTCACACTGTCCTATCAAAACCAGATCCTCACATCCAAGGAATTAAAACAATATTTCTCCTCTTTGTTTTTTTTGCATATGGTCACTGAACCCCCCCTGGGCCAGTGCATTTCTCCAGAGAGCGATTCTGAGTCTGTAAAAACGTCTGAAATGTGTTTGGAGAGAAAGATCAATGGTTGAAGCGGGGTGGGGGATTATGGGATACCCTCCAGTCAGCGTGCTGTCACTCACACTGGGTCCGAAGCAGTGGACGAGGCACCGGATCCCTCTCATCTCTGTCAGAGCGTCTCGTTAAAATACCCGGCCCTGTATCGCACATTGTTGCAGTTTCTTGTTTTACGGCGAGCCGGCCGCTCTCTGCAATTAATCAGCCGATGGGATTGTTTGCATATTTAGTTTCTAATGAAAGACGATGAAAGGCAGCGAGTGGCTGTTACTCAAACCCAGCCATTCTTTTCCACTTAGGGAGCTGATGGACAGTTTACGGTATAAAAACAGACCTGATGTGCATTATGTCATCCGGCCGCTCTGTGGATCCATGTGCACGGCTCCTCTTTACAAATACGCCTCCTAATCTAACAGGCCCCGAAGTAAATTTGCGGTGAAGACAGGGGGAGGATCAGACAAATAATGTGAATAATTATTGGAAATATTGTCCAGATAGATGGAGCGAAGCCAAATTATGAAATCATGCACTTCTCTCCGCTGCATCACCCTGCTCATTATTTGGAGTCATGCTTGGAAAAACAGGTGTTTCCAATAGCGAGTCGTTGTCTCCACGGTGCTGCAACCCCTTCATTTTCTCATGATGGTTCAGATATGATATTTCATGGCTCGAGCCGTACACATGATAGGAAGTGATTGGGGAGAGCCACTCAGAAGACGTCCGTGTAATGGATGCTGATTGGCCCCCGGCTGAATCCCCTCCCGAGTCTGTGCCTGTGTAACAAGAGGGGAACCACAAAGCTGCAGGAACGACCCTAAATGCTGTTTTCTTTTCTGGGAGGTTCAAATGATTACAAGGGGGATTTGTCCGTCTCTTTAAACAGGTGCCATGTTTATGTGCGTGGAGGACAACAGCCGTGCCGCTGGCTTCGTTCTCTTAATAAACAGAACCAGCAGGGAGAAAATGTGTCTTTTTTTTTTTGGGTCCATTTCTCCCAGTTTGGTTTATGATCGACACATTGCATCAGCGTTTGAAGCCCGGGCCTGTGATGTGGAGCAGAGCAGATGTGTGAGTTTTATAAGCAGCAAACTCTCATGTGATTAATAATCATGTCAGTTGTTGGTATTGAAGCCTTGAGGTTGTGAGTCAGGGTACGTTAACTCCAACCATTAGAATCCCATACTGTTATTCTGAGGACGTAACGTTGTCTTCTATTAATTTTGAATTTCTGTGATATTACTTTATTAGTGATGGGTACCTGCTTTTATTCTGAGGAAGGCCCTTGTGCTCGAAACGTCTCTACGCCAATAAATTCTCTAGCTGAAGCTTCCAGTCGTGATATTTTGTCAATGTAGGACCAATGAAATGTTTTTTTCATCAGATGTGTTATATTCATATTTTTTTACTTGCTTTTCGTCCTCACAAAGAGATGAGTTCCCCACGACATGAGCAAATCCATAAACTACACCTAACTCTAACCATAGCCCAAAGACACAAGTACACACACACACACACACACACATGCAGCTGGTAATCAAAGCCATGTACATGAATTAAAACGTTTATTGAGCTTTTTATGTGCTTGGCACCTGTATTTACATTTTTTAAATGCCTCAAAAAAAAAAGAATTATTGAACTATTTCCCTTTTCTTCACACATTTCATCACCGATGGGGCTGTAAAATCGTTATATTGCTCAGCACTTAAATACACATCTCTACAACACACCAAAACAAAAACTCTGTTTTGCTATTGCTTCTTTTATAACTTTTCACACAACAACCTTTAAGCTTATGTTATTGATTGCATTTGCCATCTTATTTATATATAATATGCTTTAAAACGTAATCCACTCAAACCTAGTGAAACCATTCCAGTCTATGAGGAGAGCAGGTTGACGGTGTGTGGCGGAGTCCTCGTGTACACGCCGTGATGCTGGGAGTTTTCAGGATGAAGACGTAATCCCTCTGTCGACCTGACCTACACTTCTTTGACTTACTGCGTCCATGTGTTGTGTTCAGCCTGTTTGGCACATCGACCCGGTCGCCGCAGCGCACAGATACTTCCCCACGCACGCTCCTGCGTATATGTAGAGCAGTGAGTCACTCGGTAATCTTGTCCAGTTGTCCCTTTCATTCCAGCCCAAACTTCAGACCATGACGGACCGAGCGCTGACCCCTTGACATTTCTAAAACGATACGACTCAAGTGCTGCGTGAAGTAAAAAACTTCTGGATCACAGTGAAGACTCTTTGGTTACAGGATGTCGTGACCCGATGGCCTTTGAGTCCCCAAAATCAAGAGTGAGTCACTTGAAGAGGCTGTTGCTGCTATTGCACCGCTACATATTCACACTGATAATCCTCCTGAAGCAGAGCGTGTGGGCTCCTCTCTCTCCTTCTCACACCGCACGTGTTTCCTGTCAGAAACTGTAAGAGCATCAAGCTGCTCCCCCGATTCTTCACTTTATTAATACATAGATAATTTAATAATACTTTGACTCCCACTATATTGCTTTGTAAGTGGCGGGGAGTCTTTAAAAACAAAAACATGAGATGATATCCTTTTCTGAAAGGTTTGTTTTGTACCTCAGTACGTTAACATTTCATGTGAAAACACCTGTTTGACATTGACGCCAAACTGGGTTCATAGATGAGAGATAAGCTTCTCAGCTGAAAGACTTAAGAAACATGGCGGACTGTGAGGTTCGATGGCGGTTTCTACACCATGTGCATTGACATCTGAGAAGAGGAGCCATATTGACGACCGTCGCAGGAGCCGCCGCCCTGCTGGCCACCGGTGGTGTTGCCGATCATGTGCATCGTGTCCATGCCTCCGTTGGACAGGTACTGGCGCTCAGCGAAGGCCCCGGCAGGTGAGGAGGAGCAGAGCAAACCTCCCTGGGGCTTCTCCGGGCTGGTGGCCAGACGAGGAGAGGTGGGGAAGTTGTATCCGTACAGGTTGTAAGGGTTGTGCAGGGAGAAAGCGTTGTAGGAGCCCTGCTGCACGTGGTGGTGGCTCCCACTGAACATGTGGGCGGAGGAAGGGGAGGATCCGGATGAGGAGGATGAGGCGGCGCTCGAGCCGCCTCCGGCTTGCATCACATACTGAAGCTGCGAGGCTGGGAAGGAGCCGAGCTGACCGCCATAGGCTTCCATCTTGCCTCCGGTGCCACTGCCGCCACTGCCACCGGTCAGGGATGGATGAGTGCTCCCTTGCATACCAGCAGCAATCAAGGAGGAAGTCCTCTGTGGAAGGAAGGATTCAGAGGGCTGAGCGGAGGCCACACCGCCCCCTGCAGCCTGGAGGCGTCCGTAGGAACTGTCGGCCAGGCCACCGTAGCCCTGCAGGGCCGCCATGTTACTGCGGGCACACGCTGGGTACTCAGACAGACCCAGGTTGCAGAGCTGACTTTCCCTGCAGCCCACATTGAAGGTGTTGGGAGCCAGGTGGAAGGTCGGAGGGGAGCAGGAGGGGGACAGGAGGTGGGCCGCACCAGAAGGGGAGGGGGTTCCTGTGCTGGAGGTGGTGGGTGAAGTGCCTGTGCTTCCACCTGGAAAACAGACAAACAGAATGAAATACAGTGACTTTGATTACAGACGCCAAGAAAGTTTTCATTCCTGACTGTTTGGTAGAAAAATGGCACGAAAGTAACTGAAATGATTTCCAAATCAGAGGGCGGATCCAGGAAACTAACTCATTAATGAGAATAATTCATGGATATTGGTGAAAAACATGAGTAAAACAAGGATGAGTATCTATGAGTGTGTAATGTTTGAAGTTTGAATCAGGATCAATTGAAAACTTCTGAAATAAAACATGAAGTCTGCAGCCCTGATTTTACAAGTTACACCATGATGTGGGGCGTTGTTCATAATCAGATTCAAGGTTTCATAGAATTTAATTAATAATTGAAAAGAAAAATCTAAAATCAAACATCTAACTTCATAAATAATGTTTACAGGGCATCTATCATTTCCTCATGTTGGCAAGAGTCTTCCATGTTAATGTTGAGGTCATAATTTAAGTGACCTCTTCCTTCAGTGTGGTGTTTCTCTGCCGTGTTCCAACACATGTTCACCCACTCTCTTTTTTTTCTACAAGAAAATTTGATATTATGGGAAAGTGACATGAATCCATGCCCGTCTACCTCTGACCTCCCTGTGGAGAGGAGCGAGAAACAAACAGGATTTCCCTGCGGGGAGGTGTTAGTATTACTCTCTCATTTCCTGACCTCCACATCCTCTCTACCATGTGGCCGTGCAGGAAGAATGTGTTCTACCGATTTTATAATATACGTTATATATAGTATATAATGAAATAATGAACCAAAGAAATATATTTTTTGTACATGTACTTCATCCTCTTATGAAACCATCGCATCGACACCGCTCTTATCACCAAAAGGTCTTGATTCTCATTGTCTGCCCCTGAAATATCTTCTTTTTTTTTTGTGTGATTCTGAGGGGTTCGTTCTTACTAAACTCCGAGGGAGAGTATCTGGAGTTCAGTGATATATCTGAGAGCAGGTACAGAGACAAATAAAACAAGCAGAGAGCCACAATATCAATTCACCTGTTGCCAATTTTATAAATAACCTGATGGACCCATGTGGACTTTCTCAAACTCCTACCTTTGGACTAATTTCAGACTCTTTGAACCTGTGCTGGGTACGAGATCGTGGACCATATCATAAAATATACTGCTGGTATGCAGAGAGAAATATGGATTCAGTTTTGACCATGTCTGGTCAACAGAGCCCCCCCACATCCCCAGTTGGCACAAAGCGGATCCACTAAGTCAAGCCTTTCATAGCGAATTGATAGCTGTGGGATATCAATTGCATATTTCACTATTAATGAGAATTTGGCCCTGGTTCATCTTGCTGTTGGAGAAATTCGGTTTGAAACCATGAGGAGGCATAACTAAATGATCCAGGACTCGCTTGGCTGGGGTTCTGATTTTGCACCATATGCCTTCGATAATATCGCCACAGCTCAGAGAGATGAGGGGGGAGGGGTTTACAGAGGGAAGAGAGGAAGGTAGATATATACGAGGGAAAAGACAGAGGAGGGAAGAGAGGAAGATATAGTTTGGTGATGTCATGTTTTCCTCTGGTTAGAAGGGTAAAGGTGCTTCAGTGGAATAGTTGATTACCAGGACCGTCAGGGCGAAGCAACGGACTCACACATGGTCACTAAACTACACGTACACCACGGAGTCCTTACAGGGTGACGCAGGGTTCACCGCCGACGCAAGGACCCTGATCACTCTGGAGGAGTTTAATGATAACAAACACATGTCCGCCTGCTCAGACAAAATACGCAGCGTCACGTCATGCTGACCTCCAGAGGAGACTGCGATAATGTCGGTGAGGAAGCAGAGGTGCTTCAGGGCCTTGATAAGAGACATGACTAAGACCTGGTGCCGGCACTGGACGTCACACAAAGGGAGGTGTGTCACGGAGCAGCAGGGTTTGTTTAATGACTTTCTTTCCTTTTTCGATGGAGGTGTGAACAGCTCAGCAGGCGCAGGCCGACCTGCAGGAGTAACAACGCAGAAGGCCAAGCTCACATGAAGGACAGTGATGGCTGTTGCAGAGAGTGGTGAGATAGACCAGGGTGGGACGGCACGAGCATCAAGGACGTGTAAATTACCACTGGGCACGACTCTGAGTGCTGAATGAAAAAAATTACTTTACTTTGTCGTCTAATCTTTTCACTTTTGTTGAAGATTGGATTAAATAAACTTTACAGTTAAACAATTACAATTATGACTCATATATTAAAAAGATGAATGGAGAATAATGGCAATGTGTCGACTCACTGGCAAAAAGATAATAATACGGGGTGAAACTAGAACTATAGTCACATCACCACCAAGGCCCAACAGTCCATCTTATAAAACCACATTTAAATCTCACAGATCTTTATTTGGATTTTCAACAAAATGCAAATAAAGATCAGAACATGTCAGATTTTTTTTTTCCACCACCAACAAATCCCGTAAACATTGAAAAATGTACCTAAAAATTATAAAAATTCCTGGATCTGCCCCCTGACCTGGATCCAAAACAATACAGCATCCCGGCACCAGAAAGGAAACTGATAATATATTTGTCCTTTATTGTCCTGCTCTAAAACCTGTGTCTACAAAGACACTAGGGGAAGATGAGGAGGACTGGGGGGGGGGTAATATTTATCGTACCTTGTTGTTTCTGCATGTTGGTGAAGTCTTCAAATGTCAGGGTCCTCACAGGAGGTCTCCAGAAAGCATAAGTCTCCATGATGGCCTCCAGGCCGGTCCTGACAGAGAGAGAGAGAGAGAGAGAGAGGGAGGAGAGATTCAGAGCACAAAACAACCACAGCAGAAATAACAGAGGAAAAGAGAGAGAGACAATATTGGCCTGAGCATGTGTGTGTTGACCAGATGACATGAACGCAAGAGGAGAAGAGACAGAGAGAGTTTGATTGGGAGTGAGAGGGGAAGGTTTAATGTTATTGGCCTTAGAGTGGATGGTTATTGATTTTTGAAGATTTTCATTGCATGTTTTTAAGCCAGACGTGGCCGCGCTCCTACTTATATCTGAGCTGTTTAACATCTGAGCTCCTCTGGCGGACGGAGCCGCACGACAACATGTTCCAAAATCTCAACATGACGCCAGAGACGTTGGTGTTCAGACTCTCAGCTGCCTCGAGTCCTCGAAGAGGCGAAGGAGACTCACGTCCGTTTTAATGTTTTTATTTAATTTAGGGATTTAATTTAATTTATTTTGTTAATTACATTTCTATTGTCAGTGGTGTATTTTTTCCACTTAACTCCCAAACAAACCATAAACATAAGAAAAGAGGGAAAACGTTTATTTTCCATCTTCCATGTCGTCCAGTCGATTGAGTCATGTGTGATCTAAAGTCGCTGTTTTGGGAGTCACCTCATTTTCCCCATTTTCTTCTTGTTAATCTTGTCGTGTTAAGACATGTATCAGTATCACTGAAGCCGGGGATCTAACCAGCGACCTTTAGCGGACGACCCGCTCCATATCCTGAGCCACAGATTCTTCTGCCATAAAGTCGACGTATGTGAAATCTATAAAGTTTATGTCCATTAGTGTAATTATATGTTTTAACACTAAGTCACACTTTATTTACAAATCACAATTTGCCTCATGGGGCTTTAAAGGTGCAACATAATATAATATCATTATTGTATTTAAAGGTTAATTTTAAATTTTGCATTTTTCTTTACTTTTCAACCAATGTGAGAAAAAACTTAACATAGTAATAATAATAAATAATAAGCTTTATTTAAGATAGATTGTGTCTAATATGGTTTGACTGAATGTAAGTTTTAATATTGATTATAAAGTAGACATAAAACATGGAACAAACGTATGGGGCTATGTACTCAAGGGGACTCACATCTGTTTACACTGTCACATTATGGGGACAAAAAGCAGGTCCCCAGAAACAGATCGTTAAATTTTAAGTTGAAAACATGTTGAAGGGTTAGGTTAAGGTTCAGGTTAGACCGGCAGTAGCAATGGTTAAGGTTAAAGTCCCCAGGAAACGAATGTAAGTCAATGTAATGTTGTCTGAAGTCGTCGTGTGAGTGTGAGTGTGAGTGTGTGTGTGTGTGTGTGTGTGTAATACACAACTGGAAAAGGAGAGCGATGGACCTGAGTAATAGATAGAGTGAGAATAAATGTGTATAACAAGACTGGTTGAGAGAGCATCAGAATGAACAGAGGGAGAGAGAGAGAGAGAGAGCGAGGGGGCGGGAGAAACTGGAGTCCTGCTCGGAGGAAACTGGAGCCATTAAAAAGGAGCAGGCTTTTACAGTGCACATAAATCTAGGTGACGTTTCATCTTGAATCTGTACACGGTTCTCCTTCCTGCTTGATTTACTTCCCTGCGCGCCACTCGGCCCCGACCCAGGGAAACCAGCGGCCGTCGCCGCTCGCTCGCCGTGTTGTTTTAGGGCCACTGACTCCCAGCCCGTGGCAGCTCGTTAGTGCACCATGCTAATCGGGCAGGGCCTCGCAATCACTGCACTCATTCATAAAGACACACTGCAGCGGGACCAAAACCCAACAAATGAGCTGTATCCCTCTGCTAGGCCATAAAGGCCGGTCACCAGACACAAGCCGCTGCACCTCCGTAACACCTGGGGAGGGTTTTCTATTAAGAAGCTATTAGGTACGTCAGGAAAACAAGTTGGTGCTTAATGTGAGGATTAGCAGAGCAGATTTGCCGTTCGTTAATTTCAAATTTCCCCTCGAAGTGGAATTAGTCTGTAATTTTCCACATTTCTGCCAATAAACCAAAAAGAAGTAAGTGTGACTGTTAATCGGGCTCATATCCGACTCTAATGGAAGCAACAATAGCAGAAGATTTCAAAATGTTTCCAGCCTTCCACTTCTGTATATGAGCTGAACTGACTGCAGATCATTGAAGTGTTAATGGTTAATAAGTATCATCCATGTTCTTTCAAGGCCAAACTTTCAATATAACATTAAATAACATAAATATATTTTTTCTTTATTGTGCAGTGTTGTCAAAAGGCTCACATTTATCACACATTTAATACAGATCTATTTTTACAAATATGATTAGGTTTTATTGTGTGAGCATTCAGGAATGACCGGTAAAGCCACCCGCGTTTTGAAACTGGCCAGACAGGACGGAGGATACATTTGATACAGGAACTGGAGGCGACTCGCCCCCTTTCCTCAGTTAAATGAAAAAGCAAATGTGCAATGTGCTGTGCACAGGAGCCAATCACAAATCAGATTATCCTTAAAAAACTTTATTAATTGACTGCATCTAACACTGACATGCAACCATCACTGAGATGATGATAATCAGTCAGAGGATCCTGCTGCTTTTCTTCAAAGTAGTATAAAGTAGTTATAAATTTTATCCTTATCTTCTTTCTATTATTGCAAATGTCTTTTATTGTAGTTTTCATCTACTATGAACAAAATTATATTTTGCATTATAAATAAAGATTAGTCATTGTAGAGTAAATGCTCATCCTTGGAATTCCAGAAGTTTTTCCAAATTTAAATCATCGTCATTGACATTTTAAACCCATAAAAACATGTCTTAAAACCTTCCAGCTGTGGTGTTACATTTTATAAAAGTGAATTACAAAGTAAAGTATCTGCAGTTTTATATTTCATGTGCAGCAGACACTCCTATCCAATCAAACCCTACGTCACCAGAATTCTGCAAAAGAGGCAGAATGAAGACGGAGGGTCAGCAGCTCACTAACAACATCCACGAACCATCAAAGATCAAAAAGCAGCTTGAGAAGCGAAGCGTGTAATTCAAAATGACTCAGAGGGTTTTTAAGGTGACAGAATCTCACAGCGTCCACGCTCCACATTCAGATCTAAATAAATCCCAACAGGACCGAAGAGAAGGAATCACAAGCGATACGTGAGGGTAAATTCATTTTCTCTCTCTGCGGACAAATATCTCATTCTCCTTATCTTTTCATCTGTAGCCTTTTTCTGCAAAGAAATTCTAATGCCACTCCATAAATCAAACGGTCTATTGTTTGAAAAATGAAAAAAGATGTCTCAAATATCTGCGTGCCAATAATGCAGACCAGATGAGGGGGTTTGCTTTCATGTGCGGAGGGGTCTGGTGGCTCAGTGCACCCCCGCCTCTCTCTCCTCGTCAAACGTTACATATGATAATTCAGAAACCGAGAGAACGAGGGAGGATTTGAGCGAGAAGAGAGACCAGGAGAGAGGGAGCAAGGAATGGAGGAAGTGAGGAGGAAACTTGAGGAGAGAAAATACAAGGTTTTGTTTTTATAGATGAAAATCAAGCACATTTATTCATTATATTAGCTTATTAGCTCAAAAAGTACATCTGTGGGTGGGATGTGGTTTTTTTGGGGGGGGGGTGGTGGCTGTGGCTCAGGAGGTATAGGGACATTCGGTGGTTCAATCCCCGGCTTGTCCAGTCTGCATGCGCCCAAGTGTCCTTGGGCACGACTGAAGAAGTGCCAGATAAAAACAATTTACCAGAATGGTCCAGTTTTGACTCTGCAGCGTCAGCAACTAATAGGAATGCTCACTCTGAGAGCAAGAACAGGGCTCATGCAACAGCTGGTGACGGACGACAGGATCACACCAGTCACAGAAATGTCTATATGTTGGGTCTGTCTATGTATGTGTGTGTGTGTGTGTGTGTGTGTGTGTGTGTGTGTGTGTGTGTGTGTGTGTGTGTGTGTGTGTGTGCGAGAGCTGCTCTGTCTCTGTGACGTTTAAGGCTGTGACAGGACGAGTGGAGCCCAGAGTCAACATTTCTTACAGAATCCTGCCGGAGTCTTAAAATGTGTGATGTTGAATGACTCACCGAGTGTGTGGGAATGTGGAATAAAAAGCCATTACCTCAGACGGAGCGTTAATGACCCCATAGGCATGGATTTGGTGATTTGCAGGTCAAAAGATGTCTAGACGTCTCGGTTAAAAAAAAACTAAATTACATTCAAACCATTGTTCCAGCAGCTTTTTACGACTACAGTATATTTCAGTCTGAAACACGTCCTAAGTATGTGTTGAAAAAAATGCAATGGTTTTATGTGCCTGTGTAGAAAAAAAAGGGGAATATAAAATATTCAGCCCACCTTTAAGAGAAGACGGATAATGGAGATGAATCAAGAAGTACAGATAATAGGATACGTAACAGGCCGGTGACAGCCAATTAAATTTAGGTTCAGATCTGGATCAAAATTAAATTAGAAATTGTCTCCTGGGACCTTATTTCATGTTTTCCTTCATTTCTCAGAGAAAAGTTAATGGATCTTGAAGAAATACATATTTAGAGGACTCAAATTCTTCAGGAACTTCTTATCATGTGAAAACTTGGCAAGAAACAGTTCCGATTGAAGGCGGATGTTTCAGATGGCTGCAGGTAGCAGAGGTGAGAAGCTACATGAAAAATGCTGGAGCTTGAACTGTGCATCGTTAAAACTGTACAGCACTTGTTCTTGGACACGTTAACATGCTGCGTACTTGAGCCGGGGATCAAACCACCGACCTTCTGAATAAGTGGGTGACCATCTCCACCTCTTGAGCCACAGCTGTCCCATGATTCAAAAAACTATTAATAAAATCTCATATGCAGGATGAATGACCTTCAGTCCTTTAAATCTATTATATATCACCAGCTCCCGTCTAAAGATGACAGGGACGTTAGTCTGTGTGTTCATGCACTTTACTGGACTCTATAGGAATCTGTGTGTTTGTTTTCTGCTTTTACATTTGTTTGGTGCAACTCTGGTTCTAATTCCTTTACAACTTTACTTTCTTACTTTCTAAAACCAAATAATCAACAGCAGCTACACAGACAGTAAGCGGTGATGAGGTCTGTGACAGATCTGCTTTTATTCCTTCTCCAACTTATCTTTAATGAAAATAAAGATGCTGTTGGAATGAAGCGACATCAAGGGCGTTGAGCCGCCATCACGTCGAAACATAAAATTACCCTGAGAATTGTAATTAAAGTTGTACGGTCTGATAATAATGCAGCATGTCCATCACGTGTTGTGGTGGTAAAACATCAATCGACAGGTGAAATGAATGAACTACAACATCTGGATTCTGTATTTAAAAAAAGTGTTATTTGCATTTTGAGCAACTATGTGCATGTTGAGACTTTATGAGCATTTCATCAGATGAATGAGACAATAACAGAAACAAAGAGAGAGAGAGAGAGCGATGCGTCCACCAATCGCTCTCCGTCTCTGTGCTGCAGATCTGACTCATTCTTCTTCTTGGCAGCGGACGAAGCATCTGTTTTTATATAGAACAGCATATGGTGCTAAGTGCTAACTTCAGAGGATCATTTCCATATTAAAAGTCACACAGAACAAAAATAAAAGGTTTGACTTTTGCTGGCAGCGTGGAACAGACCGTGACAGGACGTGTTGTGGGACAGATGCTGTGATATTGTACCTGTTTCTGCCGGAGTCCCGAAATCCTTTGGCGAACGGGTTGCGATCGATCTTTAGTCTGGTGATCTGCAAACAGGAGGAACAGGACAAGGAGATCGTTCTGATTACTGTATTTTATTGTTTAATACTAGTATTATTGGTTCCATGATACAAATGGTTAGTTCCAGAAATTAAAGACAAAATAAAATAGGTTTTTAAGTTTAATAATCCCCCCCCACTGTAGTTATCATTTATCAACATTTAATCAGCTCAGTTTATTTAACTTTTCAAGTTATTTCTGAATTTGATCATATTTAAAAAGAAAACTAACTAATGTTTTCGAAATTCAACCTCAATGACTTAAAACCAAAATGCACATTTTGCAGGATTTATCTGATTTTCATTCATTTCTGCATTTGCAGGATGGTTAACAAGCAGGTGCACACCTGCTGGTTCTGGTAGGCGGTGACGGTGGTGAAGACGGTCTCGGGGAAGCTGAAGGTCTTCACTCCCTCGCCGCTCGGCACCGGCTTGTTTGGAGAGAGTTCGCTGCTGAAGTCCTTCCTGATGACGTGAACACGAGGCTGATACTTGTGCATGGAGTGGAGGATGATCTGAAAGTAAGACAGGAAAAAACATCAAGTTTAATAGAAAGGAGTGTCTCCCTGTTTGAATCTATGTGTGAGGACTTAAAAAAAAAAAAAAAAGAGCAAAAGTTATGTAGCAACTTGAGAATATTTTATCACTTGAGTGTTTTACCTGAAGTAAGTAGAGCCTGACCGATATAGATGTTTAGGGGATGATGCCAATCTTAGGGATTTAAGAATTTCAGATGCCGACATATCAGCTGATATATTTAGATTTTCTTAAATGGCTGATAGTTGATTCGTAAGATGTTATATTTTTTTGTATATAACTATTAATCAAATAAATAAAATCAGTTCAGAAAATAAACAACTTATTAGAATGTAAAATGTATTTGTCATTTCTGCATTTATTATTCTATCAGCAGATACCTTTATGTTTGGGAAACACTGAGAAAACATGGGAAGTGCAGATTCTAAGTTATATAAAAAAATGTGTTTGAGTTTGAGTTCAGGAGGTGAATTTGTTGAGTGAGGACCTTCACACCTTGAATAATGTGTCTCTACATGCATTTGCAATATGAGCTTGTGAACTTTGCAGTTCAAGGCAGAACACAGAACTCTAACTCTCTGCCTTTGATTTTCTCCGAGTGCAAACACACAGAACATGCACTTCCTTCATAACATCAATTAGCTCCACAGATTCCCTATCAGAGCGACTCGACACTGAGTTCACATTGAGATGACGCTCGCAGGAGGGCCGAGGATTATTTCACAGAGGAGCCGAGGCGTCAGACGGTGTCGGCCCCAGCCTCGCCTCGGGGCCTCAGGGCCTCGGTCTGCTCTTGATTAATCCGAGAGTGAGAAAACCTCCCCAGAGCCGAACAACCCCGAACTCCGCTCTCTGCTACAACAGAGGGGGTCATTCCAAACCAGGCCCGTTGGGGGGGAAACAGCTCAGAGTATCAGAAACACTATTTAACGTTCCAGACCTCGATTCACACACTCAGGCAAACATACGCGAGATCAAACGCACATGCACATTAGGAGTGGGGCTGCGGCGTCGTAACACACAGATGCGCGCTCTGATCTGCAGAAGTTTGTGTTCATTAGTGTTGCACTGAGTTCATTTCTTTAGTGTTTTGGCACATTCTGCTCAGATCGCATGTCAATCAAACCATGTGGGTGGAGCTGTGGTGTCTTTTTCCTCGAGTGCAAGTACGAGTTGTGCAAAATAGCGTCTCCCATTAGAAACAAGTGTCTCCTGGCTACATTTTCCTGCAGCTGTTCTCTCAATAAGCATTAAATGACTGCAAATCCAGCCAAACTGTTTATATGTATTTGTCTTTATGTTCTTTTGACCATGATGATTCAATCTGTAAGTGAAGATAAACAGCATTTTTAGAGGATACTGATTTTTAACGTCCGTTTGTGGTGCTCAAGCAAAAGCCCTGCTCTCATGAATCGAGCCCAGGCTGAATCTCAGTCATGTTTTAGCAATAAAGATTTCACATTTGATACACGCTGCCTCACGGCCCAGAGGAGTCATGCTTTTAGTCCCAGGCCAGCCCGAGGTGATGTAAAGTCAAATCGGATCGCACATCAACACGCTGAACTCACAACATACAACCCAGAGAGCGGCCAGAGGACCTCGGCCGACAGTTGTCCGCGTTCAAATGCAATTACGCTAAATAACTGATGTTTTCATTTTTCATGGTCGGTAATGACGTTGCTTTAATCCCTTTGAAAATCATGTGGACGTTCACACCGGAGATGTGCAGATGTCGTGCGTATCTCCGAAGAAAATCAGCTCACGTCAAATTTAGCTGATTTTCAGCTTTCAAACATACTTAGAAAACACTTTAATGTTCATAAACGATGAGGAATCAAAGAGAGTCATCACAGCCTGGGGTTAAACTCATCGTGTCCCCTGTGAAATTACTCATTACAAACTGGAACAATGCAGACTCTCTCTTGGACGCTCACCAGCAGTGACTGAACATGAGTGGGGCCACAATAACACTGCTGTCATGTGAAAAACCTCTGAAAACAAGTGCTCAAAGCAGCCTGTGTTGTATCGGCCATGTTTTGAGCGATCTGGAGCAACAGCAGTGACACATTACAATGCTATCAATCATTGACAACAAAGCAAAATGGAAGCAATGAAAAAAAAATGCCTCTATTGGCCAGTCCAGGCTGCTTTCAGGGTTTTATTAGATTTTCCCATAGAGCAGCGGAGAGAGACAGGAAATAAACGACAGGCCAGAGTGACAGCATGAGGCCGATGTGAACCCATGACGACGGAGATGAACCGAGCCAGTCGGGTTACGGGGCGTCCCGAGGACAAGAACGTGCTCTGGTAGCTTACAGTATGATCTCTCTATTTCTGCAGATGACACAGAACACAGAGCTGTGAACTTTGCTCGTGTTGTTATGATGAAATCCCTGAAAGTAAAACTCTGCTTTTATGAGAAAGAACACACGCTGCAATATTCTATACTTTATATCTCCTCATATGACCTGATGTGTTTTACACATCAAACTTTACTTCACTGAGAGCTGAAGTCAAAGTAGTTCAAGTTTACTGGAAGCAAATAATATATATTATATACACAGTCAGTGATGTAACAGTCCCGCCTTTCATTACAGTATTATTATACTCGAGTATATTACACAATGAACGCTTTTCTCTTCTACACTGCAAAGGGTTGTTTTACTTCACTCCATTTATTTGACCGATTGTCAAAAGAAGTTTAGGATGGATGGAGAGAAGGAGGGTGACATTTTTCTGTCTGCAGATCTGTTCATCACTAACTGGTGGAGGCTCAGTTTATCAGTCTGGAGGAGGATGTGCTGTCTGAGACGCATTAAATATTGTTTTTCACGCTTCTGTGTTGCACTGGGACGCCTGATGATTCACGACATGCAGCGCCGTGTCTGTTTCTGATGAGACGGACGATTCACGACAACTCGAGTCAAGAGGATGAGCGGGAAGTGGAGAGGATTCCCACACAGGAAGCTCGAAAATTAATTTCCTTTGGCCTCCGACACCCTCCCCTGGGGAAACACAGAACTTAAGCTGAGCAAAAAGAGAAGAGAGACGACCTCCAGCGCGTGAATCCTCGCCCACCAACGCCCATATGTTTTTTCATTTGTCACCACAGAGCTGTTGTGCAGAGCTGTGACAGCCGCACAGCTCACTACGAGAAACTGTCCGCCGCCATTTTGTCAAAGAGCTGGAAACGTCTCTCTTCTGGCGCCGTCGCTACACTTTTCTAATCACTCCATCACCGGGCATCAACAACGCAGAGGAACATTTCATCAGTTTATTAAAGTATAAGGTTTTTAAAACAGAGGGGGATTGTCTATGGATTCAATCTTTTAATTTCCACAAAAAGTCTTAAATGAAACTGAACTTCTTACCCTGAGTGGTTTTACACATTTCATGGCCTTAATTTCACTCAGGGTTTCGATCTTTTACTGATTCACTTCTCAGGTATTATAATGTTCATTTTCATTTGAGATTAAACGCCTGCACCTTCATATCTTGCACATTTTACATTTTAAATTCCTACCATCTGTTTTTACCTAGTTGCACCAAAACCAACACCAAACAAGCTGAGAGCAGCGCTTCATGTGGCTGTGTGTTCACGCAGCGATGCCTTGAACCATTCGTGTGATTTGATCGCGCCACTGTGACCCGTGACTCCAGAGGGTTAAATTTGAGCTGTGTATTCTCACTGGGGAACATGTTTTGTTTGAGTTTGATGATAAAATTGTGGATGTGTGAGATAAAATACACTTTGCTGTTCTCTTTAAGGATCCATTAAGTAATGCCTGGTCCCTACGGGACAGAGAAACATGAAGACAAGCTGACAGATCTTGGCTTTCTAAGCTTGTTGCTTCTTTACACATCTGTCAGACATTTCTTCTTCTTTTTTTGTCTTCTTTGCACTGACGTGATATCAGCTAACTCCTGGCTAAAATAACTTTAGATTGCAAATGTTGGATTTCTGTGAACGTCCACTCTTTAACTTTCTCAGAATTTTGCAGCACTGCAGCTGCACAAATAGCTCTTATTGTGCTATTTGGTCTTTTTTATAATATTCTCTTAAGCATTTTTTCATCTTTCATCGCAGCTTTGAATATAAGAGGCCAGTCAGAGTTAATAAGAAACATGTCCCTTTTCCATTCTAACTATACAGAGTTATAAAGTCAGACCCTCACTTGCTGATTATACATAAAGAAAAGCAGTAAATCAAACAAATTGTGGATCAACGTGTTGCATTACACTTAAATAATTTCACCTATGAAACCCACAAGTCCCAATAACAGACTGACTTTAACTCCCCACCTCTGATACTGACTGGATACAAGCTCGGCAGTAAATTAGACCAATTGTGGTCAGACTTAAAGTTTAGCTCAGTGCTGTGGCTGCTGGAGCAAACTGCAAATCATTTTCAGTCATTAGGTGCCTGTAATGAAACCGCTTCATTACAAAATGCTTGACAGAGCCATAAGGAAATGACCATTACATAGCCTATTAAAACAAGGGCATGGATTCATATCCCTCTAAGACACATCCAATACCTTTCCATGCTGATTTAGAAAGCTAATCATTCAGAATCAAATCTTCAAATAGAGCAGCATGTGTGTGTTGTAGAAAATCTACTCAGCTCATGTGAGTCATGAAACCAAAATGTCCACGATGTCCTCAGTTTTCCTTTGTAAGCAAATGCTTCGAAAAACACAACAAACGTGGATGTTTCTGCAGCACCCTGGGGTGACACGAGGTTTGAAGAACAAAAACCACACTAATGAATCACAGCTCGAGCATTTCAGCCCATAGTCAGCACTATTTTTAATTACGGACTTCCCTGATCCCTGTGTGCATTTTCCTTTGTTGCCTTAAGGTCATGTAGGAAATATCAAAATCAAGAATGCATGAATCTGCGACACAGGAAGAGGCAATTGAAGAAATAAGAAGTAAAATAGTGCAAAATATTATGTTTTGCTCAACGTATAGCATAACTGAATACTTTTGTTAAGTTGAAGTCACTGTATCTATGGAGTAATGTGTATCTACGAAATGTCCCTGTGTCATTGGAGGCATTAATATATTCACCATTAGTCTTTTAAGACGCTCTAAATATTTTTTTATTGTCTTGAGTGATGAACAGATGTTTCCTGACAACATGTAAACCCAGCGAGCGACAGAGAAGCTGTTAAGATGAAGAGTTGTTTGCTTACGTGTCCCTGGTCGTCCAGTTCGTTGTTGGTGAGTTTGAGTTTGTCGAAGCTGACCACCTGCCTCATCCAGGTGTCTCCTGAGGCCAGAGAGTCTGGGTGGATGTAGACCCGCGGAGGCACCGGGGAGTCGGCGTTTCCTGCCACCATCCACTTCGAGCTGTGGTACACATACCTGCAAGACAAGACGAGGGAAGATCAGCAGGTGTCACAAACATCGAGTGACAGAAGATTTTATTTTGAGCTATTTGTCTAAAGAGGAGCAGAAACTTTGTGTTGCACACATGAAACTTGTCACAAAGATTGAGCATTAAGTGCAATTGGGCTTCAGACTGTGGCATAATTCATTTAGTAATTCTTTTCAGACACAAAAAATGAAGATAAATATTATTTTGTTATTTCATTGAGTTATCAGTTTGTGTAAATTGTTGCAGATAAGATTGAAGTTTGAATGTTTCACTTTATGATAGCTGGGAATTTGCTTAACTTCATGTTAAAACCTGCCTGTTCGAGTCGTTGCAGATAAAGTTTGAGCTGCAAATGTCATATAAACACTGGATCTTCCTTCCTGAACATTTTCGCAGGAAGATTGGGCTCTATTGTATTTTCTGTGTTGGAGGAGAACTGAGCACAACACCACCCTGAAACTACAAGTTCCATTTTCCTCAGTTTTCATGTGTCACACATCTCATTGTTGTTCTGCAGAAGTTACATCAATTCTCCAGAACTAATAATCCTTAATCCCTTCATTTGAATCTCTGAGGTTACTTCATGGCTGAATGCCTCAGCTTCTTTCACTGCGCTGGAAAAGAAACACTCTAAATGTGTTGCCATGGCGTCGACTTTTAAACCTCATCTGTTGTTTCTTCATTGTGCTTGAAATTTTCTAACAACGGCGACATAAAATATTTCATATGCACACACACACACACACACACACACACAGTCAGCTGTGCAGTTTCAATTTAGCTAAACCATAATATTTGATGATGTTGTGTGTGAGTTTGGGTACGATGGGGCGTCCCACCCATTAAACAGCAGGGAGAGAGAAGAAAGAGAAAAGGAAGTGAGAAAGAAAGAGAAAGAGAGAGGGAGAGAGAGAGAGAAAAACGACTTTTACTCTCCTTTGTAAAAGGTCCAGAAACCACCAGTCGCTGTAGTATGCACCATTTAAAAAACAAACAACAAAAGGAAAAGTAAGGCTGGGAGCGAATGAAAGAGAAAAGAAGAAAAGACAGAAAAGCACAGATAAAGAAAATCAGCAAGAAAGATGAAGAGAGAGAGAGACAGTGGAAGGACAGAGGGATAAAAGAGGGGAGGAATGGGAGGAGAGAGAGAAACACAGAATGGGAGAGAGAGGTAGTGAGTGAGAGAGAGAGAGAGTGTGAAGCACAGCTGTTTGCCTTTAGTTCTGGCCGTGCGCTCAGTCCAAAGTGTTTTATCTGCAGCGTCTCTGCCAAAGTCATCACTCACTCCTGAAACATGGACAAAACTCTCATTTGGTCCTTTTGTTATTGCCACAAAGGGCTGCACCACCCCATTACACACACACACACACACACACACACNCACACACACACACACACACACACACACACACACACAAAACTTAAGTACATTCCAACACACAAAAATACATACTCAGCCTCTTTCTGCCACAGCGAACACAAATACATGCACACATTTAAAAAGCATCGGGGGGCGTTTCGCAGCATGTTGGCAAACACACCCGCTGGCGGCCATATTGGAGGTAAAGTCAGCTCTGGACGGATGTTTTCAACGTTACATTCAAGCACAAATCTACATTATCACAGACTCTTCGGATCAACAGGGAGGATTTAGTGCAGATGTTAATTTCTGGGAGCTCTAATTCTTCTGTCTGGTGCCTCTATGTGTCTGAATGTGTTTCACTTATCTAGAGAATCGTTCATCTTATCAGCTGCACACTTGTCATGTTTCTTATGAGGGGCCCAATGAAGTGCAGCATTGAGTTTGGTGTGATTTGGACCCAGGGTAGTAGCGGCTGAGACTCAAGTGTCGATCACAACAACAGAAAGGACGACAGATTCTCCACCACTGTATAAAATGATTATAAAAGAAAAAGGTGCGTTTCTGTTCATTTTGTTTTGCATGAATGATTTTGCAGTACTTCCAACTGACCAAAATCCAAGGGTTAAAAACATAATTAATTAATTAACTAATCGGCTCTCATGTCCACAATTTCCACTCATTAGCTCAGTTTTGATTTGACTCAGCGTAGAGCCTGATTTGACAATTGGTTCAGTTTTTAACCTGAAAACTTTGTGTCTGCTTCGTGCTGATCAGATCGTGCCAAGTGGTTTTTAGAGCTTCCATAAAAAGCTGCCTACTTCGGCCGAAAATGAGACGTGAGATCCAACCAAAACATTTTAGATATGAGCCAGACAGCAAAACATCAGGCCCGAAAAACTCCTTTCACATTGACATATAGGCAACTTCTATCACTCAACTCTCAGACAATGACACATCATTCCTCAAACAAACATCTCGACACGTTTCAGTAATCTGAAGCACACACCTCCGCACACACCAAACATACAGAGTCACAAAGGGTGCCGGGCATTTCTGTAATTTCCTGTTTGGAGCCCTGTTTAGGGTTACGCTCGGCATAGCAGGGAAAGTGTTAAGAACGAGGAAACTTTAGCCCCAAACAGGACTGGAAATCTGATTAGTCCGCCCGCTTTCATCTTCCATAAATCTGCCATCTGGCACCGGCACGATCAATAAAGACTGGACTTTATGTGACACTCTTACTGGACGGACGGGGGAGGGATGAGGTGGGTGTGTGGTTGGGGGTGAGAGGGGTGGGGGGGGTCGTTTCCCTTCCCAGCCGACACCAAAACATACAGCTGACAAAACTGAACTGCAGCGCACGCCCCCGATTCTCCGTCTCTCTCTCTCTCTCACAAACGCACAATTATACCCATCAGCGGGATGAACACACATCGATGTTGACATGTGAAACCCCCCGTTAACACACAACAAACAGAAAACAGCTCATCAGTTTGTTTGTGTGTGTCTGTGTGTGCACAGACAGACATGCACATAAAAACACACATTTACACACTTGCCAAACCCAGCCTGTATATTAGGTTACTGTACTGACAGAGAGAATATTGCTATTGAATTACCATTCAGGGTTGACTGGTGTGTGTGTGTGTGTGTGTGTGTGTGTGTGTGTGTGTGTGTGTGTGTGTGTGTGTGTGTAAGAGAAGACCATCGGCTTTGTGTGAACACGTGTCCACGACTGAATTCTCATACTTATTAAGACCAAATGTCCTCACAGAGACAGATAAACAATGTCATTTTGCCAGTTCTCACTCTGAGTCCGTCTCACACTCACGTTAGTGTTCGTTAGATAAACGTTAGAATGACGTTAGAATGACGTTATAGGATAAAGCTGTTTTAAGGTGTCGGGGTAGGATGGCGACAGAAATTCCTGTGGGTGTGTTTCTAATTTTAAACGGGCACCTTTGTGTGTGTGTGGGTGTGTGCTCTTATTTTTCTATACATTCGAAGACCAGATGTCCTCACAAAGATAGTTAAATGAGAAAAAGATGGAATTTCTTCACTGTCCTCAAAAATATAACAAGGCCCCTGCGGCTAGTCCCTGTTAGGGTCATTAGTTCTGTATCCAGGTGTCTTCTATTTATATACTTATGAGGACCAGATTGGATTAAAATGAGAGATTAGAGTTGAGATTAGGTAACGTTGTTTAAAATCACAGTTAGGCTGTAGGGTTACGATTAGGTCGGGGAATATGTGTAATGACTGCGTGTTTTATCATGATGATGTGTCACTAGAACACATCATCAGTAATATCTTGCCAGTCGTCTCTTAAACTATGGGATTTGATTTTGATTAAAGATTAAAGTGGATCAACTGACTGACCCCAGAAATAGCAACGTAGATGCTTGTGGGTATTTTTGTGTGTTTTAAATTTGAATGTGTGTGTGTGTGTTCTTTTGTTTCTATACTTATGAGAACCAGGTGTCTGCACCAAAAATGCAGCAATATTTTGCAAATCTTCACATCTTCACCGGGTCAGTTCCAAATTAGATTAAGGTTCTGTTTGTACCAGTGTGTGTGTGTGTGTGTGTGTGTGTGTGTGTGTGTGTGTGTGCATTTATATATTACACTGTTTCTTTCATGAAACTAAACGCCTACAAATATAGGAAAATAAAGACGTTTCAGTTTAATATTTGGCCTTGTGTTTATTAGTTACAGTTTTAGTTACAGTTCATATTTGAGTTTTGTTTTAGTCGAGTAAAGTCAGTTAAGGGTGAACAAGAGTTTGTTTTCAATGATTGTCCTCACAAGTATAGTTCCACAGCTGTCTTTGGTGTGTGTTTTATCCCTTTAGAACATGTTTCTAATTTTGTAAGGGTATCGGGTGTTTGTGTGTGTGTGTGTGTGTATGTGTGTGTGTTCTTTTATTTCTAGACTTATCAGGATCAAGTGTATGAGCTAAAAACAAACATGACAACATCAAATGAGAGAAACATTAGATTAAAGATTAGCTTTTGGATTAGATTAAGTTAATTTAACTTTAACAATGTGGGTCAAACATCAGATTAATGCTTGTATTTGTAGTGTGTGTGTGTGTGTGTGTGTGTGTGTGTGTGCGTGTGTGTGTGCCATATGCTTACTTTTGTGTGTGTGTTTTTGTTTTTGGACTTACGAGAATCAAATGTCTCCATGACAATATATTTAAAATATCAAATCTTTCACTCTGATGCAGTTTCACGGACCTGAGTTCATCGGATAAAGATTAAAAATAAACAACGAGTCACAACCTTGTGCGTTTTATCCATTTTCAATATGTTTATGTGTTTCTCCGATACACAGTTGAAAGAATGAGTTTGCGGAGCCTCTGTGTTCAGCGTCCTGAGCTCACAGCAAACCCAGCGACTGTCCACATGAAAGAACTGTAATATATGGAGATTTAATGAGACGTTCCTAAAGAGGGGCAGGAGGCCCAAGGAAAGTGACTTGATTCCAATAAAGACCGGATTTCCAGAGCCCAAACTCTCCATGACTGTGAGACACACCAGCGACAGCCTCCAGCTCAGTTTGCAAAGCCCTGTGGTAAATTCCGCAGCCAGGAAGAAAATCCTATTTAATTTTACAAGATCTTATGGCCTCTAAAAGTCCTCCATGATGTCTTGGTTTGCTGCTGGGAGAGCGAGGAGAGGCGGCAGGGCAGAACGTCTGCTGCGCTCTGCTGGAAAACTTTACATTAATGCACAACAATTTAAAACGACAGATGCAGGAAACCCAAATCAAACCCACACACTGCAGAAGTCACTTTATTTTTATTAATCGCTTGTTTTTATGCAGACTTGTGTCTTTAATTTCTCTCCAACGAACCTGTTTTTTGTCTGAAATCATAAGTAAATCGGATTTGACAGGACGGGCTCTCCAACTCCCTCTGAGCTGAGTTCATTTTGTTTTGCAGATGGAGGAAATATACACATTGCACACTCACATCTTTAACCCTAAGACTCACTCTTGCACAGCAGCAACACGTAATAAATAAAACAGCTCCCTGTAATTAGACGTTCTTATGGGGCCATTATTGTAGCAAAACTATTGACAAATGTGAGTCTCAATCCGTCTGTGTGTAATTAGATTTGTTAATGTGTACATGTATCTGCAAATATTTAGAGTGTGTGAGTGTGTGTGTGTGTGTGTGTTTGTGTGTAAACAGATTTGAAAATGTTTAAAGATAATATCTTCAAATATGTGTTCAGATTTGAAAGTGTATTTATATCTGTAAATGTGTAGACAAATCTGTAAACACACATGGAGACAGAGACAACTCATCTGAAATTTAACACTGTGGGTTTTCTTTTTAACACCGTGGGTGTTCCGATGCCATCACAGGTGAATTTAAAAAACTACTTCTGGCTTTGCCAGGATGAAAATAGATGATGCTGTGTTCACCCTGCAACAGAAAATCCTTGAACTGCAAAGCAACGAGCTCTAACCTCAGTACAGCACCAGGTCTATGAACTCTGTATTCATCCTGAGGATTTCAAACATGTGGAGAAGTTTGCTACCTGCTGCTCTGAAAAGTTATTTTCAAACAGACTCTTGCAAAGACTGGAGGGTTCCGCTCAACACTGACAGACCCAAACCTGGAAAACCAGCTGAGAGTCGCATCATCATCACTACCATCTGACATCAGACGGTAGTTGGTTTTGGGTGTTTTCATGTTGAAGGATCAAGAATATTACCAGCCTGTCCTGTTTCACTATCTTCACTCCTAAAAAACAAACAATAAACCATCGATTCTGGTTCAGAAATCCATCCACTGGCAGCTTTGATACAAAGAAGCAGCAGCAGCAGCTTGTAAAAGCCTTAACTGGTCAAACTGTTGTGAATGAAATGAGGCAGACTCTGGGTTATTTGCCAAATTATCACTTCTCAACACAAAATAACAGCTTGTATCTGCATCAAATACGCAGGAAAACCTCATGATTTAACCATCTGCATCTTATACTTCCTCATTTCTGCCATAATACCTGAAGAATGATGATACTGAGCCATAAAAGTAACCAAATAAAACTTCTACACTCGCCCACTACAACAGCAGCTCCAAAGTCTTTTCAGTATCACAAACTTTCTTTCCATCTCAACCTGGTTTTTTCTCATATCGGTCATTAGACCTGAACGCTGAGAGTTATCCTATTTGCAGGCAGCCTCTGGCTCTGCTGCTCGGCCTGTGGGATGATGAATACATTTCAATCTTCTCTGTCTGGCTCTGACTTCAGGCACAGGGACCGTTGGCCGGGGATATCAGTCTTATTGCATATCCAGAGAGATCCATCATATACAAGCTCTCCCTCCAGCACATGCACACTTTAATCACTTTCGCTTCACGTCATGAATGCAAATGATGGGAGTAACTACTCTGAATGGACTGCGAGAGAAAAAAAAAACGCTGCAGTCCCGAAGCAGTTCTATGAGAAATCTGAGAAAAGAAAAGAAAAGCTGGGACATCTTCGCTCGGTCCAAATCCTTGTTATGTCCGAGTCTGACATGAGAAATGGAGCAAAGATGAGAAAAATCCCACTGGGTCAAAATGTTTGCACTCCGTCTGACATTTGAGAATCATCCATGATGAACAGTTTTGCGTCAAGCTGCAGCCTCGCTCACGCAGATATGACCGTGCATGTGCTTATTGTGCACAGCTGTGCATTTATTAAAAGGAGTTCTGAATCTTGAAGCTGCTATTTTCAGAGCGAAGCTGTCATTTCATGCTGGTGTGCAGCATCTGTACATTTGACTTTTTTTTTTTGTGTGCCGAAGAAACAATACAATTACTCAGCGTTTTCACCGCAGCTTAATTGTTGTTGTGGCTGAGAAGCATCTGAAACAGCTTTCAGACCATCACAGGACATTAAACTCCCAGTGAAACCAAAAGGAACAAAATCATTTTGGTTCTTAGCAGCAGTTTGGTAAAGAAACAGTGGGACACATTTTTGTATTTGGGAGGCGTAAATGGAATGAACCATCAATAAAGAATGCCAGGACAATTTGATTTAATATCTGATATGTGGCACGTCACAGTCATTCATCTTCAGTCGTGTTATTTCAGAGGGAGGAAGATACCTGTATCTCTTGTTGTCCACAGGCACAATGTCCATGGCGATGTAATACTGCTGATGAGGGTCCAGTCCTGCGATCTTTACCCGCATGGCAGGAAACATCCGCCTGGTGAGGACAAAACAAAACGTTGAAGTACTGATGGAGTTTCTGCCTCTTTTACTCTGAAGAGACGACAATGTTAAAAATACCTCTGAAAATAACAAGTGTCCAAAAACACACCACTGCCACTGAAAGCAGACGGATGAAGTCAGTCAGCTGCCGATCGACCCACAAAAACACATTCGAACTGTGTTTGAGAGACGCAGACAACTCAATTTACATAAAGGTTCTGTAGGATTTCTGCAGCCACAGGAACCTGAGGTGAGCGGCAGCTGACACTGGATTATAATTTGCTACCAAAACAAACAATTATGAGATGTATTGTTTCTCCAACTCTGAGAGGACAAAAAAGAGAATGATGTTCCAGTTGGTGCACACTCCCAATTCTTTATGAAAACAAATACGACTACAAATCCTACGTGTATGTTTTTGTCGGCTGTGGCTCAGGGGGAAGAGCGGATCATCTACAAAACAGAAGGTTGTTGGTGCAATCCCCGGCCCCTTCATTCCGTGTGTATCCCTCGTGCAAGACGCTGAATCCTAAATTCCTCCTGATGGCTGTGCTGGCAGAGTGAGTGATTTTTACAGATGCGCTGTATGAATGTGTGTAAATGGGTCAATGGCAAAACTGAACTGTAAAGTGTGTCGAGGAGTCGTCACGACTCGAGACGTTAAATAAACACAGAACATTTACAAGGATTCAAATGTGTCAGCCTGTGACATCATCATACAACTGAAAATAATAAAACTAGCGTGTGTCTTCTTCACTGAATCCACTGATCAGGTAATTACTTTGAGTACATGCTGAAAATAAAAAATTGGAAAAGCTGCCTCTCCGTACATTTTTTAATTTTAGGTACATTTTTTTTTTGCATGTCCCGATTTACTCCTCTAACGGATGACTTGCATCCAAAAGGTCGGTTTGCAATTTTGAAAGTGGAGCTAGTTTTGGTCCATCAGAGTTTAGTGTTTTGAGGACGTGTGCTCTTCAAATTAGTTCTATCTATAAAATAAATCAGGTTTAGCTTCATGATCCTGAATCCAAGTCTGCTCGGATCTAAATCCATCATCATTTGTTAATCCATAAAACAAGGAATCTTTCCAGTCTCTTCTCATTTTTACAATTTCCTTTTTCAGTAAAGTGAAATATTTGTTCCATGCCACTGTGACCTCTGACCTTTGCAGGAATTTAGTAATATATATGTTGTGTTGAAGTCCAAATCGTAAAATGCATTTCGTGGGCCTTTATATAAATCAGCAGAACTTGATATTTATGCTTTAGATATTTTCAGAAACCAGCCCCAAAGGTTTTTGAAGCTTCAGAGCAAAGTTTGAGGCCCAAACCTCATGAAAACCAACAAACTGAAAAGAAAAAAAGGGATAAAGACACAGCCATCTATATTAAATAACGGTGTGTGTATGGAGAGGGAGACATTTCAATTTAATTCCTCGTTTTGCACTTCAAAAGCTGCATTTTTCCCTTTTGATTCGGAGCTCGTAAATCCGGGCCTGCCTAATGAGAACAGAGGGCTGTTTTCTTGCTTCCCTCCTCGTCTGGATTTATGAGCTTATTATGAACAGGCCGTGAAATGCACACGGAGACGTGCGCGTCCACGTCCTCCTGCACTTTGCTTCAGCACAAAGTCACTGTTGCTTTATATTTATGAGCTGATCAACCAATTTAAAACTAATTCATTATAAGATATATATATATATCTTATAATATAAAATATATATATATATATATATATATATATATATATTGAGAAGAGAAGGAGAGGTTGATTCAGTCTGAAGTCAGATATGAAAAACAGATTTTTGGAGGAAGAATACAAAGTCTGGTTTTAAAATTTCAACATCAGAAAATAATATTAGGTTAATAAATAAGCTGGATAAAGCATCTGCCACTGTTTTTTTAAACAAATATCCTATATCCTCTAATTAACTAAATTAGTTTAACGTTGACATTACTGGGAAGTTAATATATATAAGTAGTATTTTCATTTATTTTTCAGATTATTCTCATCCACTTAAAAAAAGTATCAGACTACAATCACACTCAATTACAAAGTAATTATAATTATATATTTGATGCTAGATAAAATATATTAGGCAAATTATTCTGTGGTGTTTGTTTAGTCTCACATTTGTTTGTAGCCACATGAGGACAGCTACCTCACACTTCTGCAAGAAGTCGCACATAGAAACCACAATATAAAGTAAAAACTGAACTTTATGAATAAAGAAAATCAATCAAAACATAAATACAACGTAGATTGATCAAGTAGGAAAACTAATGAATTAAAAAGTGATATCATCACGGCTTCACTTTAAAATATGCTCCGTCTTGAATAAGTTCCAACAGCTCACTATAAAAGAGGAACCCTTGATCCATGAACTATTTACAAGCAAACAGCTGATGATTAAAATGTAAATACTTCTATCATCACACTCCTGACTCCTTTAACTCCGTTATTTAAACATTAAGTTCTTTAAACCCTCTGGATGATGATAACTATGTTCTTAAAGGAGGATTTGTCCACTGAACAGGAGGGAGATGTTAGTGGATACGCGCAGTGCGCACGGAGCGAAGCAGACTGCGGGCAAAGGTCCTTCCTGTACCCGCAGGCTAACTCCTGCGCTCGGTCTGGGTGTCGACTGTTGGCCCGAGAGCGAGAAACCCCGAAACATGTTGGAGGGAGATTATTAGAATCAGAGCTGCTCGTGCTCCGACATGAGGAAAAACCTGCAGCGTCATGGAGGCCTGAACACAGAGGAGCGGCCTGCATGTGCAACACGTTAACACCCTCCAGACAGAGGCGTGTGTGTGTGTGTGTGTGTGTGTGTGTGTGTGCGGACACAGCTGGCAGTTTATTTTCGCCAAATAATAAAGTATTTTTCGTAAATCCTCTTTTAGGTACAGTGGCACCGCAGAGCTGCACGTAAACCATCCGAGCTGTGTGCGCGTGTGTGTGTGTGTCTGTGTGTCTGTGTGTGTGTGCTTCCTACCTGCCCGCCTTAGTGATGATCATCTCTGTGCCGATGTCATGGAAGCGCTTCCACAGGTCTGCGCACTGCAGCTCCACCTGGATCTCCTCCATGGAGGCCGGGGGCGATGGGTCGCTGCAGGGGCCGGGGGCCAGGTCGGCGGGTGAGCCAAATGAGCACGACGTCCTCTCGGCCAGACCCTCTCCGTCCGAGCCGGGACTCGCCTCGGAGTCTGAGGGAAAAATGAGGAAGATGATGAGAAGGCGGCACTGAAACAGTGGAATTAATGCGCTTTTTTGGGTTTTACGCAGGAAACTTGGCATGGGGCGGAGAGCGCAGCGGTTCTCTCCACTGACTCCAAATCACCTGCCGTCTGCAACTTGGACAGAAGCGGCCCAGTTTGGCTCGCTGGCTCAGCTCGTCATGGAGTTCTGGGCTGATGTCAAAAGCAGAATAAATGTTGCGTAAAGCCGTTTGAAATGCGATGTAGGGAATATTAAATTTTAAATTGGGCCACACAATGAAGGATTCCGATGGGAAACGTTCAGCAAACGAAGTTTCCCCTCAAGAGTTCCTTCCGGAGCGAGTTTTACAGACTGACCAGTGGAGTCATCAACGCAGTTACAACGTTAGAGCAGATTAATAAACCTGAAACACATCCAGACCTACAGGAGAGCTTTCCATCCGGCTGAACCCCCAGACTCCAAACAGCAAGACCCCAGACTTTTTACTTTAGACTCATTCACTGTATTTCAAACCAGATGCCCAAAGTGGCCACGGTGGAGTGGACAAAATAACAGGAACCCCTGAAAGTACACCATCCAAAACCCTGCGTGTTTTCAAATGGAGTTAAAATGTTGAGTTCATCAAACCGCATCAGAAGATTTTCTACACATTTTTTCCCCATCACATACAAATATATCCTCAAAGTATTTATGTAAAATAAAACTGTCCACCATCAACAATCCACTTCCACTTAAAGAGAAAAGCAGAATTTCTCAACAAAGAATAATTTTCACTTGACTTTAACCTTTAAAAGTCACTTAACACATGTGTGGTGTTATTTCAAAATAAAACAAGAACCTTTGGGGTTAACTGTGAAGATGTTTGATGGTTTTTCCAGCTTGGATATCAAATCTTTATTCCTCAACACCTCAGAGCAGCAGATAGAGTTCTGGTGGAATCACCACATGCAGACTCTTATTTTGTCTCAGAAACAGTTGAATCTCCCACATCTCCTCCATCATCACTACCAACACCACCCACAAGATAAAATCTAATCATTTATTATTTATTGAGGACCCTGACAAGAGGAGGTCGACTTGGCAGACTAAGGGCACCCAAATATGATTATGCAAATGCTGAGCTGCTGAGAGGACTGGACGGCGTCCCAGGCGAAACCGCCGGAGCGCAGGCCGAGCCAACCCCACTGGAAACACAGGGGAGAGATGGAGATAGGAGGAGCAGAGGGAGGAGGAGGAGGGGGAGGAGGAGGAGGAGGAGGAGGAGGAGGAGGAGGAGCAGGAGGAGGACAGGGGCGTAGAGAGGAGAGACACTTTCCATCAGCTCCTTAGAGGAGAGATTTCCAATGTCACTGCAGCCAGAGAGGACTGTCACACAGGATTACGCTCCCACATCTCATCTTAACTGTCCACACACACATTTATACATTCAGCTGCCCCCTCGCTCTCTATAAAAATACTTACTACACACACGGCAGTGTTTTCATTTGGAGCCAAAAGATTAGATCACACAAACGAAGATATTTAATATGAGTGGGGAGGTCAGGGGTAACTAATATCTGTCCTGGAGAGTTTGCCAAATAATTTGCGTACACACACACAAAGTATATGTACACATAATATACACATATTTGTGGGAATTAGTTTCTATATTACTAAATTCTACAAAACATATGGTGTATACACGTTGCAACCAAGACTTAAAGTTAAATAAGAGTGTTGCATGATTTTATAAATATCCAGATTATATATATCATATAACAACAGGTCAGTTGTGTAACGGAGGCTTGTTACTGATGAAACAAATAGAAAATTTTAAACGGTTCATCCTTTAAAGGCCTAAAATCAGCCTCCTCCAACTGACTAAAGAATGTCAGTGTGGTTTCAGCATAAGTTTGGTTTTATCGTGAACTAAAAGTTGCTTTTCCACAGTGGTCGTAAGAACATTTGACGCTACATTTAAATAAATGTGATGTTTCTGGCATTGAATCTGAAAAGTACAGACACAGGCTGAAAAGCCATATTGAGCAAACCCTCATATCTGCTGGATGTTGGTGTGGGAAACGCAGGTGTTCAGAGGAAACGGCAAAAGCGGCTCAAGCCGAGCGGGGGTCTGCTGACTGTGCCTGGCAGCCCTGTCATCAGGCTCAAGAATCTGTCTTCCCCCACTCACCCGTCTCACACACACACACACACGTTCATGGAGTTCAACATTAAGCGTCACTGCCAAAATTCAAACCCTTAGAATGGAACTGTCAAAAAATATAAAAACTAATATCATAGGACCATATATTTAATCCAGTATGACACAGCATTGGGTTTGGTATTGGTAAAATCATTATCAATAATCGCTTATTAATATAAAGGTTTTTTGGGGGGGTTACAAATGCAAGATTCACTAGCTTTTTAAGCTGAATGAATAAAAACTGGTAAAAATGTGCTCACAGAACTGCCCTGATATCTCCTGCAGTAAATACACACACACACACACACACACGCCACACACACACACGCCACACACACACACGCCACACACACACAGAGCGGCCTGTGGTAAAGCTTCCAATCAGCTCTCACCAGGCTTCATTAAATTTAGTCTAACATTCCTTGTGGGCAACTAATTGGTCTAAATTCAGTCAAGTCAGTGTTGCACATTAAAGTGTGTTCACATACCTATGATGCATATATACATTCAATAAAAATATTACAGGAGGAAGAATTTTATAGTTTGAAATGTTTGTTACTTTGGTGGAGAAATTAAATTACTATTTTAATTGAATTCTAATTTATAAATTAAAAATGATTTAAGTAGAGATCTCAGTGAAGGGGTGGATTTATTGACAGCATGGCAGAGGTTTTAAAGTGGGAGCTGCAGATAGCAGTTTTATGTGCTATACATGTATCTGGGAATAATTATGACATTATGGTAATCTTCTGTATCATTAGCATGACATGCAGTTAATTGTTGTCAGGTAGAAAGGTCTCTAATACAGAAGACTCATGTCTTAAATTTGGTTTTGCACTTTTTTAAACAAAATTGCAAAATGTTCCCAGAAATATAAAATATATTCCAGATTGGAATTTGAGTTTGTAATATGCAATATCTTTTGCAGAAATTAAGTAGTATCTTAGTAGTAGTAGTATCCATCTTGGCTTTCCGCACCTCAGACATTCAATAACATCTCTCAAGCACGTACTGAATGTGCATTGTTTTCATATTAAAGGTGTGATGTTACCACTACGTTGAAGTTCTGTATTTATGTTGAGATGATGTTGATATATTTAATGAAGTTGCAGCAGATTTCTAAAGATCACGGGAGCAAACTGCCAACCATGAAATTACTGAGTAACCCAATCCAACCGTGGGAGCACCTGTTTCTACACTGATGGAGACTCAGTAAAACTTCAATCATACACACAACTCTTTTATCAGCCACGGATGAATTACTCTGGAGAACCACTGAGCGCAATTAGCAGTGTTTGGATCATTTGGTATTAGTGCAGGCTATTATTAGACAGAAATCTGGATAGATTTTAATTAGCAGGGGGAAAAACTCGCAGTTTGTGGCGGATTTGTTCTGTGCGTAATTTGTGCGTAAAAGTTAAAATTGTCACCTTGTAAAGCACATAGTTTGGGTCAGGCCTTGGATACGTGGCATTACATTTTAAGTTAGGTAGAGTTGAACTTGTTAACGGTAGCTGTTATGGAGATGTGGTTGTCGTTGTATTTGTGAGGTCTTTTTGTCAAAAAAACTGTTAAATGTGCGCCTGTGTCAGAGTTTGTGCATTTTTTCAGTCATTCGCTTGTCTTTGAAAACTAATAAACCCGCTACACGACCAGACAGCTTCCAGTTTCGCCCAGAGTTGAGTAAAAAATAAAATCACTTCGTTAAGAATTCCACTAAACCGCATAATCTGACCACAGAGACTCGCTGTTGTCGGTCAACGCTGCCCGACGCGCCAAAGTGGAGGCTTTAGGACCCGAGCAGGAGCAGCGCAACCTGCCATGATCCAGGCCTGCTAATGAGCCCGACCGTGTGGGGGTGCAAGGGCACCGGGGACTGAGTTATCCATTCAGGCACAGATCCTGAAATTACCCGGAACAAAAAGCAGGGAGAAGACGAACAGAGAAACGTCTCTTCGTCACAGACTTAAAAATAGAAAAATCACTTCATGGTCGTATAATGATGTCTAAGGTTTCCCTTTCGAAGATTAGCTATGACCTTTTAAAACGCACAAATTATCTATGACCTTTTAAAACGCACATAAACAAGTTGTTTACCACTGTTAACCGTGTAATTGGCATTTAGTTTCATCGTCCTCGTTTAACACAAATATAATATCAACGGTAACAACACACCTCGAGTTCCTATGACTAAATGTTTTTCCTAAAACCTTCCATCGTGTATTAATGTTCTTTTAATCAGCGGCAGCAGTTTCCCACCGGAGAGGAGCCGTGCGTAAAGTCGCTGCGCCCCGGAGGTCAGACTGCAGCAGGCAGCGGAACTCAGCGTCGTCGTCGCTGCCTGAGCAGCACACAGAGATGGAAAAGCTTCACTTCTGCACGTCTCCATATTTTCACACATATCCCATTAACAGTGAATCATATTAGACAATTTCGATTCGTATCTTTCAAACTAAATCCATTTTTTAATAATGAAGAGGGGTTTCCTTATTTTCACCTAATCTAATTTTTGTAAGAAGCTTTAATTTTAATTTATACACGGTTCGGAGTGAATGACCTTACATTTTCATGCAACATATTTTTTTCCATCTGTGAGTAAAGCAGAATGCGAAGCTCTGTAAAGTTTCAGTTTGAAAACGAAGCTCAAAGCGAAGTTTCGAGGTTAAAAGTCAAAAGTTAAAAATTTCTGTTCAGTTCATTTTCAAACACAAAAATCTGAGTTATTTAAGATGGAAGAGAAGAACAGACAGGATATTTCATTATATCTAACGAGCCTGATTCACTGAATGTTCTCATGAAT